AGAGAAGATATCCTATGTGAACGATATGTGGTGAATGAATTCTACACTCAAATCTTTCAAGTTAGGAGAGTTGATGAGAACCCACATGCCTGGGGATTAATCGTGCTGGAATCGTCTAGTATTATCTACATGGTGTTCTATAGATTCAGGAGATGGGTGAATAGAGTATTCCAGATATCTCCACAAAAGAAATAACATAGCAGTTAGAAGGAATTGTTATCACTACTTATATGAAGCTTTGGAGGGCAAGAGAGCAAGCTCGTGACACAATTTTTGGCTCAGTTGATAAACTACAAATGGTTCCAACAATATCATGATAATTACTTGATAAAACCCGGGCTCACCATAAACTATACATTTAATTGTTATTGATTAATTCTTTCCAAAGTTTTTGTTAGTTTCAAGGTGTGTGTTGGATGGATTTTTAATATGGGTTGCAGACCACTTATAAATTTAGATGCATGCCATCTTAAAATCTAAGGTATTTGGGTGTCCTTTTATCCGCTCACTGGTCGAATGAAATTAATGGACTTATTCACCATAGCATTTGTTGTTGTTGAGGGATGCAAACATGGTCAGTGTTCTTGAGAAGTATGGTAGAGTATACTATTAGTTCTAATTTAAGTCACTCTTAGTTTTCATATTCTGACTATGGAGAAGGGACTGGGAGAGGCAATCTAAAAAGAAATAATCCTCGAAGCTGAGCTAGAAATTTGCATTCGACATTTGAGGAGATATTCAATAAAAATATTTCCGATGTACAAATTGGGCAAAAAAAATGCAAGGACTGTGTTTGTGAAACTATAATCTTGTCACGCAAAAATGCCTTATACTAATGATAGAGATGAACGGAGAAGCTTTATCTGAACTTCATGATTTGGAGTCCCTACTTTGTAACTAATTATCTCTTTTCTTACCTTCAAGTGGTCGAAGTAAAGTCATTTTCTAGATTAGGGATAGATATGCTATACTAATACTACTAAATATCTATTGTCTGAGTCCATTTTAACCGCTATGGATTGCTGTTATGACTATGTATACCAAACAACTGCGTTTATGACCCATTTTTGGCCCGGGGAAAGGCTTAGTGGAACAAGAGGCTTTCAACAAATTAATGACTAGCCTTGACGTGGGCAGAGAGTATAGTCCATATGTAGAAGAATATATCAGAAGATATAACAACAGAAAGATGCAATTTGTGTTGTGCAAAGCTAGCAATTTCAAGGCTGAAGGTAGATAGGACTACACTCAAGAACACGATATCGTTGATATTGAAACGAAAGGATGCACTGTGGAGTAATTGGCAGCTTAGTTTGCCTTGGCATTCATGCGTGGGCCTTTCATTGGTATGGAAAGAGCACCTTGTGGCATAACACATATGTTGATGAGTTATCTACTACGATAGTCAGGATAATGAGGAAATAAGCAGTCATT